TCCCTGCCAAAAACACCCCCTGGGTTGTACAAATCTAGCCAGGTCCTCCAGGCCTCTAGCACTGGATCCTGGGGAAAAATAATGTTGACAGCTTTGCTATTGAAACCTCAGGTCAAAAGGCCTCCAGCTTGGGGTGGGTAATGGCATGTGAGATGTTGGCTGTGGGCCCTGTGCTGCCTTACCTGGGGAAGGGAGGCTATGTGTATGCCGGAAGGGGAGACGGTGCTGGAGGGATATGGGAGGAGGAAGAGCCCTGTGGGTCCTTCCTGGAGGGAGGTGAAGGTGAAGGTGCTGGAGAGTTGGTGTCTTTGCCTTATTTCCCTGGCCCATAAGGACCAGAGAACAGACCTGGGCCAGACAAGGTGGAGGAGCATGGGGAAAGGCCTGACTCATTCATTCACTCCTAGGCAGTGATGGTGTAATCTCAGGGAAGGGAATCCTAAGGAGATGTCTGCACTGAAGTGACACCTGTTTCCGTTCCCAGCGAGGGTTAGGAGGCCTGCTTGACCCTACGCACTGAGGGGCCCTGGTGAAGTGCTGTTGCAGCCTGTTCTGGGAGCAGGAAGGGAGTTAACAGGTTGCTTAGAGGGTACTGGCAGCCTTTGGGAAGGGAGAGCTGGAGCCAGGGGCTGCCAGGAGGGGAGGCAGGATAACCCTGTAGCCCTGTGGATTTGCTCTTGGGCATCTACTTGTTGCTTTCAGGCCATGCTGCCCAGCATGTGTTCATCTCAGCAGTGGTGCCCCTTGTTTTCGGGCTAGTCTGTGTGACACCCTCTCACATCCAGGGGCTGTTACGTGGCCAGCTAGGTAAATAGAGGGGTTTTCTTGTTTGTACATGTGCCTATTTTTAACTTGAGTCGGCTGCGGTTAGCAGGGGCAGCAGCAGCCTGTAATTAGAGCCAGCCCAGTTTGGGAGCCGCCCCGTGCTCCAGGACTTGCCCAGAAAAGAGCAGAGCTTGCATGGGTCAGGGCAAAGGCAGCACTTGGCTCTCTGGGGTGTTCTGCAGGCTAGTCATTGGGCCTCATGCCCTTCTGAAGCATTAGCCTTGTATTGCAGATACAAGTGACTTGCCCCGGATCTTGGTGGTGGTAACAGAGCTGGGAGACAGACCTGCAAGGCTGGGCCCTGGTTCTGCATCATGAATGCACGGTCAACATGGGATTGGGCCGTAGTGTCCCAGAAGCCTGTGAGTTATGTAGGGTTGTGTAGCCCTGGGTGACTGCCTGTTTGGCTCTGTGCGATCACTGTTGGGTCACCCTCCTGCCCCTGGAAAAGGCTGGTGAGAGAAGCTGCCTGCCTCTCTCTCCTGTCAACTTAGTGTCCCTCTTGGATGCCCTGCTGAAATCAGGCTGGAACTGTGATGGGCGCTGTAGCCAGCTGCTGCGGTTTGGATGGACACAGTTCGTGCCTCTCATGAGCAGCACAGCTAATTTGTAGTACAGGGATGCTGCCCAGTTCTGCCTGGCAGGCTGCCCCCTGTCCCACAGGGCAGGCATCTGTAAATGCAGGATTGATGTGCCCATGAATAAACCCTCTCTCTTGCTGTGTATCCATCTGCATGGGTCTCTCCCTGTATTTGGGAGTGTCACATAATGAGACAGAAAAGCAACAGGCCCCTCAGCACCAGGGAGGAGATGCACAAGGGCTGAGCACAGAGATGCATGAGGTAGGGCTGTGGGCCTGCCCCGTGGGCTGGGTCTGGCTGGGGTATCTGCTCAGAGGAGAGGGTGGGGAGTGCATGGATAGAGCTCTGGGGCCTGGAGGATCTATGGTCCTCGCAGAGGAGCAGGCGGATGGTGTGCTGGGCAGGCGGAGGAAGGGAGGAGGCCTGTATCTTTCACAGCAGCTGCTATGAGTTGCCCCCTCAGTCCCTGGGAAATACGCTGTAGTGTTAGGGGGAAAGTGGGGAAGCTCCTGACTGGGAAGGGAGGGCCAAGGCTAGGGCCCTGGGCAGGGGGTGTGGGGAGCACAGGGGGGAACAAACAGAGCACCTACAGGATGTGGAGGGCTTTGTTGCTTGCTTTGGTCAGCAGAGGGGGGAGAGGATTTTTACCTTAAGTATGGGGGAGCTGCCTTTGGAAGGGAATGGGACAGGACAGGACAGATTGATCCACGTTGCTGGAGGCAGATCATGGGAAAGTCTTAAAAATCTGGTGAGGATATTATGTGGGTGCTGGAGAGCGGCAGAAGGTGTCAGCAAGCTGCCGATGGGAATTGGCCAAGGCCAGAGGTGGCTCCCTGGCTCTTCAGCACCATGACTGCTGCACTAGCCTGCGTTGCCTGGCTCTCCGCCTTTCTGTCAGGTCAGAAAAGCCTTTGGGATGATGGCTTGGGGTGGGTGATGGCATGTGAGATGTTGGCTGTGGGCCCTGTGCTTCTGCCAGGTAGATGCTGTTACCAGGCATCAACTCACCCTCTCTGGCCTGACTTCCTTGCCCCATGGGAGGTCCATGCTGTGGGGTCCCACCTGCCTTCTCCTGTCCTGCTCAGTCAGGGCCCACTAGTGTCCTCCAGGGGAGCTGTCAGGGTGCCAGTGTCTTGAGTCACACTCCTGCCTTCATGGAGGTGGGTCCTTTGAATGGAGTAATCATGTCTGAGCCCATGATCAGAGCGAGAAATGCGCTGCTCAGCAAGTGGCAGTCCGTGCATCCAACCTGAGGCTGGTAGCCTAGGGAGACCTTTACCCTATGTATAGTGCTGGTCACCAGCTGTAGCATTCCAGCCTGGCTTGGCTGGTCTAGGAGAGACGCAAGTGAGGTGCCAGGATGGCCCATGGGAGGTGGCGGTGCTGAGTCTGTGGTTCCTGCTGAAAATATGTTGTTTTGAAGGGTGGCAGTGCAACCGGAAGGGGAGGCAGTGAGATGGGAGGCTGAGCTGACCGTGTGTTCTCTCTCCTGTAGGTACGCTATGGCGCTTTCCAACAACCACATCTGCCCGGTCCACAACTGGTAAGGAGCCTTGCTGTGGGAAGGGATTGGTGCTGGTTGGGGTAGGGTCTCAGTTGGCTGTAGGCCCAGTCATGGCTGGTCCTTCTCTGAGCACAGTAGAAAGGCCTGTAGTGGCCTTGGCATGATGTCTTGTGGCTGGCAGGTTGGGATGTTGCGTGATGCAGGAACCCTCCCATTCCCTGGGCTCTTCAGCAGAGCATGCAGGGAGACGAGGCTGTTGCTCAGTGACCAGGCACACGTGTGCTGGCAGATTCAACCTAGTTCAGTCCAGCACTGGACATGCTTAGCTTGTCCAAGGGAGAGCTGTTGCAAAGCAGGTTAGACAGGCCCTGGGGAGAATTGAATCGCTCCCTGGACCTTCTTACTGATGAACGCCAGGTCACCCTGAGCTTGCAAGTGTCACAGCCGGGTGGTGGAGCAGTGGGTGGGGCTGGGCTATTTCAGGAAGCTGGTGTCCTGGGGACCAAGGGCTTAGTGTTATCTATGGGCTTGTCGCTTAAAAGCTTTTTCACCCTTGCTGCATTGTTTCCACAAAATGCCTCCTTGGGATTGCATACGCTGTCTAGTCTTCCTGTTAAATGCGTCAGTTCTGGATGGGAGACCTCCAGTGAGTGCCTGGGTTAGTAGAGGGAAGTGCTGTGCTGAAGCTGCCTGCATGTAGAAGTGTTTGCAGGATCCAGCTCTGAGTTTGCAAAGTGCTGGAGGGTCCTTCAGGATGACTGATGCTGTACAAAAGTCCTCCACAAAAACCTGGTTAATACGTGGTTATGGTTGTTTCAGTAAATAACCTAGCCTTCATGCAAAACATATAAGAATGTTGCCATTCACCAAGAGTCTGAAAACAGCCGTTCAGGGAATTACAGAGCGATGCATCTCCTTGGGAATGCTTGAGACTTGTACGTTTCCTCTCCTGAGCCTGGACATCCCCCTTTGCCTGACTTCGCCAGGACCAAATGGATCTTCGTCAAACTGCTCCTGTGGGATTTTAGCAAAGGGCAGAACTTTCCAGAAAGTTCCCAGACGTCCGAGCAATACTGGGGCTGGAAAATCGCCCTGTTTGGTCTTTGGAAATTTTTCTGAATGGTTTCTAACTTGTCACGTCTCCAAAGCAGCTCAGCCCAGAAAGTCCACATTCATTTTACTGTTTCTGGAGTGCGAAAAGGAAAAGTATATATATGCCGCCGTTTCCTGTCGAATATTTTATTCTGTCTGGAGAAGAATGTGTTTGTCAGCATTGGCTTCCGTGGCATAAACAGAATGCTAATGATGAATAATGCTTTAAGAATTTGGGTTTAAGGCTTTTTTTTTCTTTTTAAAAAAGCAAGCCCAGCCCCTGCAGGAGACTCCCTTGAACTCCACTTCTCTCAGGTTTCAAGGTTGGAAAACAAAGCCATGTGTAAATTAGGAGATCTGAAAAAAACACCAGCCCCCAGCCTTGGTGTTTTCAAAGAGAAGTGCTTTTTAACTCTGCCCTTACAGAGCGGATTCAAGCGTGACTTACTGAAAACTCTATCTCTGCCCAAAGAGTAAGCACCGTAATTTTGAAAACTATCAGCCCTTGCTTTTACTTAAAGCCTAGCAAAGGCTGAGCCTACTTTTAACTGAAAGAGTCAGCATTTACTATGGAGCTGCTAATTGAGGCCTCCACCTGTGAGGTTAGAAGGAATTCTAGACAGGGGGCCTGGGTGTTTGTAAGCCTGGGCACTCACAGCCTCTGATTCATATGATTGTCACAACATAATGGTCAACCTCTCTAGTGGAGAGACTCTGAACTGCTCGGCTGTATGGCCTGTGCACTGCTAACACAGATGCTTCAGTAGCTGCGCTGCCTTGGGGAGGAAGGCCTGAGTCAACTCTGTGACAAAGGTCCTGGGTGGCCAGTGTTGGTCCCCCTGGAGCCTGTGCTGATACTGCTGCAGTGTGGGTGGGTGTGAGCTTGTGCAGACGCTTGCTCTGAGAGAGAACTGGTCCCGGGGCCAGGAGGTGCACGGGTGTATCCAGAGTGACTGTGGTGGAGGGAAGGGGCCATGTGTATTTCCAGTGCCTGAGCAGTTACAGTTGGAGCGGATCATAGCAGTAAGTGACCCGAGCTCAGATCTTTGCAGGAGGTCTGGACCTGCTCCAGCTTCTTCCCCCGGAGTCTGGGAGAGCGCTGGGGACATGGTCCTTCCTTCAGCTGGAGCCCGTCATGTGGCCTGGCTGAGGGACAGCGCTCTGCCTCCAGGCTGCTCCCATGCCATGAGCCCAAGGGAAGCAGGGAAGGGAGGAGGAATGCGATTGCAGTGCAACTGTCCTGTTTCCTCCCTCAGGACACAGATGCTTTCCTGCTCTCCAGGATGGGCTGGTAGGACTAGGGGGCAGCACTTGTGGGGCTGAGTGAGCTCCACTGCTGCTGCCCACCCAGCTCTTGAATTCCTGGCACCAATCCCAGGCTGCTGCTGCGTTCCCAGCTCCTTGCCAGGCTTAGAGCAGCTCTGATCTTGCCTGTGGTTGCAGTGTTTGGGGAAGAAGGAGGGTGTGCTCCTTGGCCTGGTCCTCACAGAAATCTGCTCCCTGCTCCCCTCTTCCTGCTTTCCCCTCTATCCCTGAAGCCCTGAGGTGCAGGACAATGGGACCTCTGCCATGCCACTGCTAGGTCTGGCTGCGGAGGGGTCTTCTGCAGTGAGGGGGAGCCTGGCCACCTGTTGAAGTGAGGGCTTTGGAGGTGGGGGCTTTGGTTTTGGAGACTTGCCTCCTGCCATCCACATGCAGAGCCAGGGAAGGGAGGGGGTGGGACTATGGTTTTATATTCAGTTTTATTTATTTATTTGGCCTGTGCCCAGCAGGTCTAGGGTTGCTGGACCTTGGCCGGGAGCGTGGGGAAAGGATTGTTTTGAGACGGGTAGAGCCAGGACCCTGGCATGTTTGTCCTCAGGCTGCCTCTGTCCTGTCTGGTGTCCTGCACTAAGCAGGCTGAGCCAGCTTGGCCCCTGGATGGGAGACCAGCAGGTTAAAGTGGGATTCCACGTACACAGCCAGTGAGTGCCCAGTGCAGAGTTATCCTGTTCACTGTCCTGCTGCAGGCAGGCGTGAAAGCCACTGTCCTCCTTGCTCAGGGGCATTAAAACCGTTGATTTCTTCCCTCTGCCCCACAGGAGTGGGTAGCATAGGAATTTGTATCCTGGGGACCCACCGCATTGTCATGTGGGTCTGTCCTTAGCTTGTCCCACTACTCAGCCCATCTTTGACTGCAGTGTTGCTGTGTGGGCTGCCGAGCAGCCTCCCAGTCCTGCACCAGAGGTACAAGCAAGAGCTGTATGTGCTGGAGTTAACAGGTTGGCCAGGGGCCTGAGGACGCTGCCACAGTCATTTATAACGAGGCAAATAAGGAATTCCCTCACACAGCTGGGAGCAACCACCTCTGGGGCTGTTTCCTGGGCCCCTTCAAGCAGTCAGGGAGGTACTAGGAGCTCAAGGGGTTTGAGAGGAGTGGGGGAAAGGACTCAACAGGGGGGTAGTGCCCTTCTCCCTCCTTTCCCTTGGGGCTGGGCTCTGTCCTGGGCACTGCAGCTTGCAGTCATACTGCTGCAAGCTGCTGGAGGCACGCAGCTTCTATGTTTGGGCCTAGTTTAAGGGGAAACAGGCCTTGGTCTGTCCAAGTTTGGATCTCCCTGGAAACCCATAGGATCTCCCTGGCTTGCCACTCAGCCCTACCACTATGCAAGCTCTTGTGCCTCACCAGACCTGCTGTTTCCATCCCATGGCATCAGTCTGTCCCCAGACCGATGGTTTCATCTTGTACTTTCCCCCTGCCTGGTGGATGCAGGGTTTCCCCTCCCCATCTCTGCCCATATTCCTAAGGAGGCAGCGTGACCTGGAAGCCTGTGCAGCAGGTTGTGAGGGGGGAAGGACTGTGAGTACTATTCCCTACTCTGTTGCTAGCTCCCTGTGTGATCCTGGGCACATTGCCTTGCCTCCCTGTCCCTCAGCCACCTGCCCATGAGCAGGGGCTAATAGTGGCATCTTGTCTGTAGGGATGCTGTGAAGATGAGCTAATGCCTGTGGAGTACACTGAACACAGGGCTACAGGCATGGGGAATGTGGCTAGAGGTGCAACTCCCTGAAGCACTTGTTGGTAACCGCTGGGCATTTTGAATGTGGCCAGCAGACAGGCTCCTGGGGAGGGCAGGTGCTATGTTTCTTTATTCCCTTTCACCCTGGATGATCTTTGAATTCTTTGACAAACTCTCGTTTGCAGTGATCTCTCCTCTGTAGCCATGTCAGGGCGTCAAAATGCTAGCCTCTGGATGCCACCTCCTGGCACATCCTTCTACAAACCTCCCTGTCAGCGACTAGCTGTTGCTTCCGGCACCCATAGCCATTGCCCCTGAGGTGATAGGGGCAGGGGGTAATGTGGCAGCAGAAGTCTGCTAAGGGGTATAGTTAAGTGTTGCAGGCAGTGGCATGTGACACGCATAGCTGTGGTTGCAATGGGACAAGACTGTCTTGACAAGAGGCAGCCTTTTCTCGTTCCTCGAATCGGTGTGCACGCATGTGTGCGAGGAGGGAGGGCAGTTGGAACTGCTTTCTACAAATTTATGCATTAACCTGAGCAAGGACAGCTCATCTACAGCCATCTCTGGGGTAGAACATCATGGCTGTTCACCAGGCACAGCAACTTAGGGTGGGAAATAAGGGCAAAATGTAAGGACTCCAGGTGCAGTCTGGCTGGGTTGTAAATGCCCTGAGTCATGAGGAAGAACCGTGGGTTCTTCGCCAGGGGCTCCTAGTGCGGGCTCCCCAGCTCCATTCCTGAGGGCCCCAGAGTCTTGAATGGGGAACAACTGGGCCCTCTCAGGACAGCCAGTGTTCAGCCTCAATGCTGTGGGACCTCTCTGGTCTGATGCCTAGGCATCAGGGTGGTGGACTTGCAAGGCCATCCAGACCAGAGGCCAAAACAAGGTGGGTCTACGCCTGCTTCTGCCATTCCTGGGGGACCCATCAGCAAAGCCAGCCAGTGGCAGCAGCAACCAGTGCTGGCTGGTTCCTCCCCACCCTGGCCCCTCAACATGGCATGGCCAGCCCTGGAAAGACTGGGCAGCATTGTCTTCCGCTGCTCTGGGACCGGCAGCTCCCATGTGTGAATGGCAGTGCCAGAAAGGAGCAAAAACCCAGTCAGGGCCTCACCTCAGGGCACTGTGGCTAACAGTCCATAGAGTCACCCTGTCTTGCCTGCCCAGGGCACTCAGCAGCTCGCACCCCTGGGGGTTGCCATTCCCCAGCCCAGGGTGCTTGCTCCCCTGCAGCACTGGTCTGGATACAGCAGCAGAGCGCCACTTCCCTATGGTCCCTCCTCTCCCCCCACCCTTCCTCTGCCCTGCAGTTCCAGTAAACTGAGCTGAGCTTCCTCCTCCTGCAAGTCTGGAGCTGTGGCTGCGCTGCCTGGCTCCACCCTGTTCTCTCACCTCTTGATGCTGTGTGTTTGGAAGCAGGAAGCTGCTTGTTCCTGGCATGCCTGTGTCCCTCCTCTTGCGGGGGTGGCAGGGAAGGGGGTGCTTCCTGCGATCCTCTCCAGTCAGCAAACCTGGGCTGCAGAGGAACTCTGCGCTGGCCCCAGGGATCCTCTCTCCCTGCCCTGCTCACAGCCCTGCCTGCTGCCTACCCCAGAGCTTGCTGTGTTTGGGGGAGCAGCTGATTATACTCTGTGGCCTACAGCAGGGGGTGACAGCTAGGACAACAGCAGTACCATGTGGCTGGGCCTACAGCAGAAGCCATGGCCCAGGCACTGACATTGAGCACCTGCGTGGTGGGGCTGGGCACCCAAGTGGCTGTGATAGAGCAGAGGGAGTGCGGCATGAGGCGGGGGGGCATGGAGTGCTTCAGGGGGGTTGTCTCACAGGAGAGAGGCTGGGAGCTCCCGGGGCAGTGATGTGGTGGACAGGATGGAGTTACCTTGTAGAGCTGGGAGGCTGTTGGGACCTGACAGGGAAGCTCACCACTTCTCAGTTGATTCAGGAAGACTGTCCTGCAGTCAGTTGCTTCCTTGGGTAGCTCAGGCCTGGCTAAGTGGGGAGGGATCATCTCGGCACTAGACATCTCTGAGAGTCCAGTTGCTGGAGGTCCCTGCTGTGTCCCAAGAATCTGGGTGTGGCTGGGGGCATTCCCTGTGTCTGCCCTCTCCCTATCTGTGCTGGGGTGCTGCATGGGCTGGGCGTTGAGTTTCCTGACACAGCACTGAGGTTCATAGATTCATAGATGTTAGGGTTGGAAGGGACCTCAACAGATCATTGTGTCTAACCCCCTGCCTAGGTAGGAAAGAGCGCTGGGGTCCGACGACCCATCAGATGCCTATCCAGCCTTCTCTTAAAGACCCCCAAGGTAGGGGAGAGCACCACCTCCCTTGGAAGCCCATTCCAAATTTTGGCCACCCTTACTGTGAAGTTTTTCCTGATATCCAGCCTAAATCTGCTCTCTGTCAGTTTGTGACCATTGTTCCTTGTTACCCCAAGAGGCACCCTGGTGAACAGAGCATCTCCAATACCTTGCTGCGCCCCCTTAATGAATTTGTAGGTGGCCACATGATCACCTCTCAGCCTTCTCTTGCAGAGACTGAAGAGATCCAGGTCCCTCAGCCTCTCCTCATAGGGCTTGTCCTGTAAGCCCCTGACCATACGAGTGGCCTCCTCTGGACCCTCTTGAATCTATCAACATCATTCTTGAAGTGCGGCGCCCAAAACTGGACGCAGTACTCCAACTGCGGTCTGACCAATGCCGCATAGAGGGGAAGTATCACCTCCTTGGATCTATTTGTCATTAGGGCTGTGCAAGGCTTCGGACTGTGCTTCGGATCCAGAGAAGCTTCGGATGCTTCGGCATCTGAAGCAACGTGTCAGGATTGAAGCACTGGCTTTGTTAGGCTTTCCAAAGCAGTTGACTTGACAGGCCTCGTGGCCTTAGCAGGGGCCACCACCCTTGCAGTTTTCAGCCCACTGCACCTTAACACACACAGGGTCATCTGTGTCACGAGTTTTGCCTGTTAGCCGCTTGAGGTGCAGTTCCCCCCAAACCCCTTCACCAGTCTTCTTGAAACTTGGCAAGCTTTGTGGCCTCAGCATAGGCTACCGCCCCTGTGAGTTTCATCCAAATCAGACAGAAAACAACAAAGTTATAGCTATTTCATTGATTCTCCATTATATTGAATGACTGGATCTCCGAGGTATGTGACAAATGTATCTGCTGATGGATGATAACGTGCAGTTAGCTTTGCTGATGATTTCATCGCACTGATGACTCGTGTTCATCTTGGAGTCCACTATGACTCCGAGGTCTGTTTCTGCTTTTGTGCAGCTGAAAGGGTCACTTCCTAGCCAGAAGGTGTGATGGATATTTTTGCGCCCTTGTTGCAGCGCTCTGCACTTGTCCTTGTTGTACTGCATCCTATTGTGTACTGCCCACTTTTCTAACCTGTCCAGGTCTGCCTGCAGTCGTTCCCTACCCTCTGAAGTGTGCACTTCACCCCACAATTTGGTATCATCCGCAAACTTGGACAGACTACAGTTCACACCCACATCCAAGGTACTGATGAAGATATTGAAGAGTACAGGTCCAAGGACTGAACCCTGCGGGACCCCACTGCCCCCATCCTTCCAGGTCAATACCAACCTGTCTACTATCACTCTCTGGGTGCGACTGCTAAGCCAATTTGCCACCCACCGGACCGTGTAAACATCTATATCACAGACTCTTAATTTATTTATGAGAATGGGCTGAGCTACCATATCGAAGGCCTTGCTAAAATCTAGGAAAATGACATCCACCTCTGCTTCTGCATCTAAGCATTTTGTGACCCTGTCATAAAACGAAACCAGATTGGTCAGCCATGATCTACCTGCTATGAATTCATGCTGGTTTCTCTGCTGCATTATTTTTCCTGTTGGACTCCCACAGATATGATTCTTCATAATCTTTTTCAAAAACCTTTCCAAGGATGGAGGTGAGACTGACTGGCCTGTAATTACTGAGATCCTCCTTCCTCCCCTTCTTGAAAATAGGGACCACATTGGCCCTTTTCCAGTCCTCTGGGACCTGACCCAAGTGCCACAAGCGCTCAAACAGCTGTGCTAGTGGTTCTGCTGTGAGGTGTGGCCTTCCTTCTTCATGGGAAGGCACATAGGTGTCTTAGCAAGCGGTCTGGCAGTGGGATGAGGTATGGGCACCAGCTGCCCCAGCACTGCTCCTCTGGGTACCCACAAATTGAGCCCTGTGGAGACAGGACCCTGGCAGCTGGTTAGTGGGGTGACTTGAGCAGGTCCCTCTGCTATGGCTTTCTGGAGCTGAGCATCCAGATTCCACCGGTTCCCAGCTTCCTCACTGCCCCCGTGTGCTGTGAGCCATAGACTCCCATCTAGACCATGCAGTGGGGGACACTGAGGCCTGACTAGTTTCATAGGGCTCAGTGGCTAAGTCAGGAGAAAAGTGAGGCCTGGAAGAGGACCACATGTCCCATCATGCCTGCAGCACTGGGCTTTTCCTTCATCCTTCCTCCATCTTTATGGTTCTTTTGGGACCGTGCAATGAAATGGGTGTCCCAGCTCATAACTATGTGGCAAGCCTGTATGAGGTGCATGCTTCTCACTGACTCTGCTCAGGGTAACAACATTTAAGGCTATGTTGGAAATGCTCCTTCAAGGTGGGGAGAAAGCCTTCTCAAGGCTGCTTGGCTATTGGTAGCCTGCAGCTGTTGTCCTGTTGGCTTGCTCTGATGAAATGATTAGCCAGCCCCTGTCAGAAGTTCAGCCTGCTCCCTGCTTCTGGATGCTGCAGGAGTCTGCCTAGAGCAGCCCAAATGGGCATTGCTAGAGGTGTGTGATGACACAGGGTTGGGCAGGGTTTCCACGCAGCGGCACTTGAATAGAACCCATCTATTCTGGATTGGCCTCATCAGCTGTCTTTGGACCCACACATGCGGCAGTCATGGAAGGCAGTCGTGCTTGTCTGTGGGGATTGGCCAACGATGATGACTAGGGACATGTATTAAGAACTGGCAAACTGGGCTGGGTGAGAGAAGACCTGACGTGAACCCTAACCCAAGGCTTAAACCACCCAGAAGCTTTGCCCAAGGTACAGGGCAAGTCTCTAGTCGTGGGGGAAGTGACTTGACTATTTGAGAACATGCTTGGTGGAGCACAGTTCCTTCTAGGAGCCGAAGTGTCGAACTGCCACGAGTGGGCCATGACTCTTCCTGAAGCGTTGTGGGTACAAGCCTCATCAGAGCACTGGGATGGGCAGGGCATATGAGCCCTGGGGCACGTGGGCATCCAAGAGTTTCTCGTTCCTTGTTTTGGGTCTGTAGGTCCCACTGGGCACAGAGAGCGGGTGCCCAGCATGCCATGGCCACAGATCCGACTTGCTTGTTTTTATTTCCCCAGGATTTATAACCAGTCCTGTGGGCCAGATGGACCAATCTCATGCTGTACTCTGGATCACATTCCCCTCGTCAGGTAAGAGCTAACGCTCCCCAGTGCCAAGCGAAGAGGCCCTGGGGGCACGCACCTGTGTCCTGTTCCTGGGACTGAGTAGTTGCATTCACAGGGCTTAAACTCTGCCCAGCTACCTTGCTGCTGCCTTTCCCTCTGGCTTGAGGGGCCTCATTCTGGGCTGCAAGGGCCAGGTGCTGGTTAGATTCAAGCTGAAAGCCCTTCTCCCTCTGGCAAGTTGGAAGGGAGCGAGAGGCATGAGTCAGCGGGAGGAGATGAAAGGTTTCCCCGGGTGTTTCTGTCCCTCCACATCTCCGTTGAGGGTTCTGAGACTTGGACCCAGGTCGCTGTGCAGGACCAACCCAAGGCAGCATGTTCTGGGGCATAGGCAACTGGTGCCACCTTAGGGGGCATGTGCCCCGCCCCCCCCGCAACCAGTCCCACTGACTGGGGGGGACGTCCTGGCAGCCAATCCTGCCAACCAGGGATCCCCCTGGCAGCCAATCTCACTGCCTGGGGGGACCCCCGTGGCCAATCCCATGATGGCCGATTGCTATAGCCAATCGCTGCAGCCACTTCAAGGGTCAACCGATGTTCCCACCTGCCCCTGCTTATCACCTAGAGCGTGGCCAATGAGGGGGTGCACCGGGGCGCTCAGGGGGTGCATGTGCACCCCCCATGCGTCACCACTGCTCTGGAGACAGTAAGCCTGTTCCTGGCAGTGTAGCAGAAACTGGAATGAACTGTCCTGGCTGGCACAGGCTGGGCTGCATGTGTCCCAGTGCCAGCATGACATGGGAATTTGGGATTGGATACACTTTGGAGCAGAGCCTTGGAGAGTATTTTGAAGGGGGACCTGTTGTTCTAAGGCAAGAGGGACCATGCTATGACTGCGTCCAGTTTTGCAGTGGTGGGGTGATCCTGTATTGCAGGGGGGTGTGGCCAGGAAGATGGTTGGGTGTCAGGGCTGGGGCATCTGCTGGGCAGGTCCACCTGCTACAGGGTCAGTGCCACATTTGGCAGAGGGCCATATTTCTGAGACAGGGGTATGGGGAGGATTATCTCTGTCCAAGACCTGGGCTGAGCATGGGGTTGTGGGGATGCAGCTCTGCAGAGCCCGAGGGTCTAGGTTGGGACTGTGATGGATTTCCCTGCTGCAGTTTGCCCAGGCCCATGGCACAGAGCAGCCCCATTCTGGATTGGGAGCAGGTGTTTTGTTCAGCTGAGGACATGTACATTGAGCCCCCTGCTGTGTTGGTTGGGCGGGGTGGTGGTGGTAGGGAGGTCTGTAACACCCATCCTTCCTGCACTGTGACAGGATATTGCAGGGAGCCGTGCACTCCCGGATGACTGGCATTGGCATCTCCTGGGGGCAGGGCAGCAGGCTGGCTGGCTGAGGAAATGCAGAGGATTGGAGCCCAGTGGGAAGCCAGGATATAGAACAGGGTCAGCAAAGGAAGGGATGCGGGGAGTGTTAGAGAAAGGAATCTTAGATTTAGGTGCAGGGGTGGCAGGGGAGAGGAATGTGAGAGCGTGGAGTCCTGGGGGCTGGAGGCAGCAGGGAGCAGGTGTGCAGCTGCTGTTTTGCTGGGAGAGGAGAAATGAAGAGCTGGGGGGAGGGCATGTTCTCTGCTCCACCAGAATCTGAAAGATGAAGTCTCTGCAAGCTGGGGCCCTCTGGCAGGGGAGGCAGCACTCCCAGCCAGGGCTGCAGAGTGTCCCTGAGTGCATGTGCATCTTTGGCTGGTTAGTGTGTGCACTGAGCAGGTCTGTGTGGGGATGCAGTGTGTAAGTGCGTGCACACACATTTAGGCTGGGGGCTCAGGAGGGTCTAGGTAAGGAGTTCAGGAGGTGACTGGTTTGGCAGAAGTTAGCACCTGGCAGGTGGCATGTACTCCATGAGAGCTGCTCTCTGTCTAAGGCAGGGTCTCTGGAAGCTGTGTCTAGTGGGGTGAGTCATAGCAAGGTGAGCTGGGCATATGAGCAGCTGGAGCTTTGTGCTTGTGGTGGGGAGGAGGCACCCACAACTTCTGTGGCAGCATGGGGAGGTGTTGGGGGCTGGTGGGGTGTGTGGAGCATGGGCTCTGGCAGCAAGGGAAAGATTTGAGTGGTCACTCCAGCTCTGCTAGAAGCCAGAGACAGTCCCCAAGCCCCACACATCCCAGCATGGCCCCAGGCTGCTACTAAGCTCAGCTGCTGCTGAGGAAGCCATCATGCCAACCTCTCCACCTATATGCTCAGCAAAGGAGTCTGAGCTGGGGCATGCAGGATGGCCTGGTGCTGGGGTGAGGGACAAGCTATTGTTTAAGCACCTGTGGGGCCAGCAGATATAAAGGGCTGTACAGGGAAGTGCCTGTCTGCCTGTGTCAGCCTGACCCCAAGTGCCATGCTCCTCTAGGGCAGAGTGGCGACATGGTGCCTGCACCTCTCTCCTCCTGAACTCATGAGTGTTGGTGAACAGAAGAGGAGGGGGTGAGTACAGCAGCTAGGGTCCTAGTGCAGTGTCCCTGCCTCACACCATAGGCCAATCGGAGGCAGTGAGGAGGGGCAGCACGGGTAGCTGTTGCTCTTGGCTGTAGTCTCCTTTCCCATCTGGTTTAGAAACTGCTGGCTGGAGGGGGTGCAGACCAGGCCAGAACACTACCTCTTTGAAGGGGGTGGTGTAGCTTGTAGTAAGAGGTCTCTGCCAAGGCCCACTCTACAAACATGGCATGTTGGAGCCTGGCTCTAGCTTGGAGTCCAAACCAAGTGCATGTGCTGTCCTGCTCCAGCCTCCCTATGTCCTGAGAGACCCAACCCAATGTGACCTGGTGGAGCCTGCAGTTGGGTGACGGGGCATGTGATCTTGGGTCTAGCCTGCAGGTGTGCACCTGGGCAGCAAGGTCAGGGTTGGAAGGACAGCACCTCCAGTAGCAGCAATGGCTCCAGCAGGCCCGATGCCCATCATCCCTTAGTGCTGTGAGTGGCTGTGCACCTTGTTGCCATGCTGCTACATGTCATGAGTTTCAAAGGTTGGGTGCCAAGCATTTTACAGTCCCTGTCTTCTCTCTGCAGTAAGTGTGGCACTCTTCCCCCTGAAAGCTGCTTCTTCAGCCTCATCTGCAGCCTGGGTTCATTCATGGGTAAGTCTAGTTTTGGGGATGCAGACAGAGTCATCTGGATGGCTCCAGCAGGACTGGCTTTCCAGTGTGCTGGGCTACACACACCCCCTAGCTAAGCTTACTGCTGATGTGGGGGGCAAGTACAGGGCATCCATTGAATGAGCAGCTGCTTGCTGTGCTCATGCTTGAGGCAGGCCTTGTGTGCAGGACTGGGAAGAGCTAACCCAGACATGCATGCTGCAACACCCAGGCCAAGGGCCAAGGAGAACCAAGAGTGCTGCAGTCATTTGGGCCCAAGACTTCAGCCTGGGGCATCTTAGCAAGATCCATAAGACCAAATGCAGGACTCTGCTGGAGGGAGTGAGTGGGTGGGGAAAAGCCAGGCTCCTGCTCTTCTGCGTGAATGAAGAGGACCTTGCTGCTCTGCCCAGATGCTCTTGCCCCTTTGGCTGGCTCTGGCATGGCACTGGAGGGTCTCACTTCTGAAAGCAAGAGGCTTGTGCTGGTGATACAGCATTCAATGGTTCTTGTTTTCCTTGTAGTGATACTCGTTGGCCTGCTGAGATATGCACATGTCATTGAGTGCTGTGGGCCATCCCTCGTCAACACCCTGGGCCTGGCAGCAGGCTGGATCTGTGCTGCTGGCCTCACCATGGTTGGCAACTTCCAGGTAAGACTCCTCCTCTGGGGAGGCCTTTATCAGTCACTGGCTTGACAGCTGGGAGAAGGCTTTGGAAGTAGAAGAAGGATTTAGTTGGTCCAGAGTTGGGTGATGCAGGCTTCCTTGTAGACATTAGTAGATCCATGTGCTGTATGAGCAGGCTGGGCATGATCAGCCAGTTGAAGGCATTGCCAAGAGAGAGCCCAGATTCCCTTCCTTGCGTTATACCAGTGACCCCAAGAACAGTGAGGCTGAAGAACCCATGCAGGTCTCACTTGCTTCCCAACTCTGCTCAGTGTGTTTGGGTTGGATGGTGATAGCAGCCCTGTTAACTTCACTCCCTGATGTAGGACACTAGCCTGCTTCCAGCTGACAGGGTTCCCAGCACCAAGGGGGAGGTGGCTACTTTTTTTTAACCTCCCATTTTCATGTATTACTCCAAGCAAGTGTTTCTATTCCCTTGGGCTCTGAAATTCCCCTTTTGTTTGCACGCTCTTAATTCTGGGCCCAGACTCAGCTGCCAGCCTTAGTTCATCCCTTATCTTGTAAAACAAATACCTGGGCAATAACATTAGCTAGACATCTGTCATCTTGTCACCCACCCCCGCCCCTCCTCAGGGGCTGTAAGAAAATCTGTCCCAGGTATGCACAATTGTTTGAGTTTCTTGGCTCTTCAGGGCTTTAAAAGCTCAGTCTGCAAGTTGTGCTGAGGTGGTGGCTTTGCATTTACTCTGGGCAGAGATAGCGAGGGTGGTCTGAGAATGAGGTAGGGAGCAAACTCACTCTGAAGCCTGCAAAGTTGCCACCCTCCTCTGAGAAGTACTGAGGGCTGCTACTGTTCCCCTGTGGACCGCCTTTCCTCTCAGCTGGTGCTGGGCACAGGGACTTCACAAACCAATTGCTTTGTGTCACAGATGTTAGCAAGTCACAGTCCGAGGTCAGGTCACTGATGCAATATTTGGGACGGCTGAGCCCTGGGATCTGGGTTTTTTTCCACTGTGTACTTTCATCAGTCATGCTGGGTAGATAAGGAGGTATCCTGGATAAGTGAATCCTGTCACCAGGTGCCTGCCAGCTCTCTGCTCATCTTGTATCTGCTTCCCACACCATGCTTGTCACAGTCCATTGACTTGGGCAGAGCAGTGTTGTGGGGAAGAGGCAAACAGCTCTCTGGTGTTCACAGCTAGTGGGAAGTGAGAGTTGTTGGCAAGGCAAGGTCTTCCAGCTGGTGCAAGCTCAGGAGGAGCAGGCTCTGGAGCAGGCCAGAGAGGCTGAGTGCTCAGTGAGCGGGGTAAGGGGAGTCCACCTGAGGCTGGCTAAGGAGGGCAGCTCTGAGCAGGAGATCTTGGAACTGGGGGGCCAGTGGAAGGGATTTGGAGCTGGAGCAGCATGACTGTTCCCCCTGCACATGCTGGCATGTGGGGAGATGATTTATGGGTGCAGGGGGGCAGAAAAAGGCAGCTCCAGCTAAAGGGCATTTTGCAGTGCAGGAAAATCTCTTGGCAAGGCCAACTTACTCCCTGCAGGCCCCAATCCCCCAGTGGGTGGAGTCAGTGAGAGCTGGAGCCCGGGGGCCAGCACTTTTCCCATAGTGCTCCTGTGGATCTGCTGGGGCAGGACCACTTCCCCTTGGCACAGCACTGCCCCCATGTGCAGCTCCTGGGGGTTCCCACTACCCCTCCTAGGGCACAGGCACAGAGAGGCTACCATGGGGTTACTCTGCATCTGCTTGCTTCTGCAGCTGAGCCCTGGGTCTGGCCAACAGGTGAAAGGGTGAACTGAGGAAGCAGTTGTCCAGGTCCCAGTGTGGAGGAAGTGGTCACCAGCTCAGGGCCTCTAGTTCTGTAAGGTTAATGCACCTCCAAGGAAGAGGGACGCTTTGGGGGCGGGGGGGTCCTGGACTAGGAGCTGGTGTTTGATTCCCAGCTCAGTCCCAGACTCCTTGTGCTACCTAAGGAAGTCACTTAGACACTCTGCCTCAGCTTCTCCATCTGTACAGCAAGACAGTGGCAGTGCCCTTCCTCCCTATGAGGAACAGCAATTTGACTGAGAGGCATCCAGATATACCAAAGGAATGAGGGCTAGCAAGGCAGCTTGATTCACGGGGCAGTGAGCTGGGGGTCCCCTTGATCCGTTCTTTTCCCTGGGGGTCCTCCCAGCTCTCGCTCTGCTCCTGGGAGCCTGGGCTGTGAGTGTGCAGCCCTGCCGCCCGTGGAAGCAGCTTGCTTCCCCTTTGCAGAGCGGTGCAGGTGAATTGGATGTCTGTTCTATCCCTGCTGCCAGCCAGGCCTGGATGCTTACTCCTGCTGGTGCCAGGAAACGTGTCTGGGCAGACGCTGCTTTTTCGTGGTGTCTGGTTTTCTGGGCCTCCATTAAGACCACAGAATGGGGGGAGCATTTTCCTAAACAAAGAACTATACCAGCCTTGACAATCCAGCTGATAGGCGCGCAGGACAGGCTTGCAGCAGAGGGCTGTGAGTGACCGGTTGCCTGCCCAGAGCAGTTGGCTTCCCCTCTTTTCCTTTCACAATAGTTTCCAGCTCCTCTGCCCAGGACAGTGCTCCAGACGCTGCCTTCTGAGGTCAAAGCTGTGGTGGCTTCAGCCTTGCCCTAACTTGGTTACTTCATGCAGACGGGCGGGCAGCCCGGCGTGTGGGTCGAGGTGGGGTTCAAGGAGCGGGGCTGGTTATGTACAGGTGCAGGGCACCCTCTGCTGGAGGAAACAGTGCCCGATTCACGGACACGGCGTATGCCTTCCAGCTAAAGCTGAGAGTTGTCATCCGGCTCTGGAGACAGGACATGTGCCTTCATGATGGCACCTTAGCCAGGCTGGAGAGATGGTCAGGCCTGATGGATGTTCCCCTGCTCAATCCACTCAAAGTGGCAGCTGGAAATGTAAACCAAGGTCCTGATCCCAACATCTCTGAACATGAGATCAGATCCAAGGGACTAGAGACCCCTTGGCTAGCGGGGGGAGGGTTCTCCCTCCCCCTTGCTATATCAATTCAGATTCAGGGCATCTTAGACCTTAAGCTTCATGTGAGAGGGAGGGAAATTCTTGGTATGTCTGAGCCCTGACGCACCATGTCCCATTTCCACCCCCTCACTCTGTTTATCTGGCTGCATTGTGGGCCTGGCGTCCCGAGTCTCATATGTGAAAATTGGGCTTGTGAATGGCACGGCGGAGCCTGAGCATACTGACAGAGGATGCGGCACCAGTTTGAGCCCAGCAGCATAAAGCCAGAAGTGGGCTGCTGTGGGGCTAGAGGAGGGCAGTGTGTGGGCTGTCCAAGGGCTTCAGTCTCTGCGTGCCCTCAGCCCGATGGTTTCTCTCTCTCAGGTGGACCATGCCAAGGTGCTGCATTACATTGGCGCAGGCGTGGCCTTCCCCACCAGCATGCTCTTCCTGTTCCTGCAGTCAGTTCTGACATACCGCATGGCAAAGACCCGGAGGCATTACTGGACCGGCCACTTGCGCAGTGTCCTCACTGCTCTGGCCTTCATCACCCTTGTCTTCAGTATCCTTTCCCAGTATCAGCACCTGGGTAAGAAGTGTGTGGGTGTCAAGTGTGTGCAAACAACCAGATGGAGTCAAGCAAGCTGCAGGGCTGGACAACAAGACTGGTGTATGTGTGTGCGCGGGGGGGAATGTCCTTGCTCACCTGCTGAGCTGTGCAAAGCAGCCCACCTTGACCTAGCACAGCATGTACTACCCTTGTCTGCCCTACAGTGACAAGGAGAAGCAGCGCCAGAAAGGAGGTGTGGGCAAGTGAGAAGAGGTGTTGTCAGCTGGGATTAGAAGTGGGGCGGAGACTCAAGGATGAATAGAGATGCAACAGGCCTGCCCTAGGGTGCCGGTAGATGTGCGGGGAGGCTGCTTCAACACATTGTAATTGATGCCTTGAGCACTGTCAGTGCTCAAGTCTAGTTGGTAATGTGGTGGCATGGTCTGACACTGCACGTAGGCTCTTGTCTTTTCCTCAGTGCAGATTCAAATCCCACTACTGCGAAGACACAACCTTCCTTTATTTCAGAGTCTAAACCCTGTGGAGCGGGGACAGCTTTGTGTTGTGCTTGTCCAGCCTCGTGCACACCAGGGTCTTGGCTGTGGCTGAGGCACTGGTGCAACGTAAATAAGAGGTTGCAGTGTATTTGACCCTTGGCCCTGACCAAGTCAGCCACCTGAGAAGTCTATAGCTCACTGTATTGAAAATCTGGGGCTAAAGGAGGGAGGAGGGAAAAGCTATAAATGTGTCAAGTGCAAACACCAGAAGGAAACCCAACTAGGGAGCTAAATTAGAGACATGGATATAGGGAAAAGTAACACAGGCTTGGTCAGAGAGGCAGTGTGTGGGCAGCTAAATTAGCAGGCATGACGGTTTGCACACAAAGCAATGGGAGGAGGGGGTGTTGAGACTAAGGGGAAGTTGTGTTCCCTGGAAGAAAGGCAATTAGTGTCTGGGCTGACCCAGCTGAGGCTTATTTGAACTGAGGTCATGGATAAAATGGGAAAGGAAGGTGAAGGCTCTGTGTAGCTCTAGAGCCCCTGGCAATATGAAAAGGGAGAGCAGGCCTGTGCAAGAACCATGGGGAGTCTGGCTCCTCAGAGGTGCTGACTGGGAGAAGAGTGGCTGCAGGCATGGATGGATCTAGGATTTTGAAAAAGGAGGTGTAGATGGTATGGTGCAGCATTGCATATGATACAACATATTTTTCTCCAGTTAAAGAGAAACTAGAAAACTCACTAATATGCTAGGTGCCACTGATATATTATTCTTTTAAGATGAAAGCAAAAATCAAATATAACTTTATAGGAATGTGCATTAATTTGCTAAATTATATATAAAGTTTGAAAACACAATAATCTAGGCAAAATAGTCAAAAGGTATTGTCTTATTATTCCTGTAGTCAGCATAGTTAAAGGTATACCTCTTATTCAGATTTGTAAAACAACATCTAGCCTTCTTGAGCATCTTGACAGTGTATCCATCACTTCACTGTCAGTCATTTCCATAAGGAACGCGGCTGACTTGGGAGATGTTGGACATCTCGAGGCCAGTAGTCCCAGGTTGCGAAAGGAACAACCTCAAAAGGAGCCATCTTGGGAAATCTCAAGTGGGGGTAACTGTGCTGGGTCCTGGCTGTAGCGGATGCGTCCTATAGCCAGGCTGTGAAGGAGCGGCCCCTAAGAACAAGGGACTGGATAGACACCATGGTAGCTGTGACTGATGGGGGCAATCCCTGGCAATTGTAACATGTGGCTGCCATAGGGAGGCAGATGTGGAACAGCAGGAAACGTGGGTGACTGTTTATAAAGTTACCATACATGAATAACTTTTTAATTGAATAGAATGCGATTTAACAAGGAGAAATGTAAAGTGCTGCACCTAATGAGGAAAAATATCCAACACACCTACTGCCTAGGAAATGACCTGCTTGGCAGCATGGAAGCAGAAAGGGATCTCAGAGTCCTAGTGGACTCCAAAATGAACATGAGTCATCAGTGTGACGAAGTCATCAGAAAAGTTAACTGCACTTTATTGTGCATCAGCAGATGCATGACAAACAGAACCAAGGAGGTGATACTTCCCTTCTATCGGGCACTGGTCAGACCGCAGTTGGCATACTCCGTCGAGTTTTGGGCGCCACACTTTAAGAGGGATGTGGATAACCTGGAGAGGGACCAGAGAAGGGCCACTCGTATGGTTAGGGGCTTGCAGGCCAAGCCCTACAAGGAGAGACTAGGGCACCTGGACCTCTTCAGTCTCCGCAAGAGAAGGCTGAGAGGCGACCTTGTGGCTGGCTATAAATTCATCATGGGGGCGCAGAAGGGAATTGGTGAGGCTCTACTCACCAAGGCACCCCTGGGGGTTACAGGAAATAATGGCTATAAGCTAGCAGAAAGCAGATTTAGACTGGACATTAGGAAGAACTTCTTCACAGTTAGTGGCCAAAATCTGGAATGGGCTCCCAAGGGAGGTGGTGCTCTTCCCTACCCTGGGGGTCTTCAATAGGAGGTTAGAAAGGCATCTGGCTGGAGTCATCTGAACCCAGCACTCTTTCCTGCCTATGCAGGGGGTCGGACTCAGTGATCTATTAAGGTCCCTTCCATAAGGTCCCTAACATCTATGAATCTATGAATTAGGGTTTTTAGTTAGGACTAAAAATAATGTGCAAGGCTGTGAAACTGAAGGGAGATATTTCCAGGAATGGCTAACAGACAGCAAGATTGAAGAAGAAAGCATAACTTGATTAATGGAACATCAAGACTATTTAAAAAGAAGAGAGGGTCATTAGCACCTGAGATTAGCAGGAATTGGATATATTACAATGAGCCATGAAATCAGTTAACTCCCTCAGTGCTGCCTGAATAGAAATGATGCTGCCTGTCCCAGGCAGTTGGCTATAAAGTTTGAGTGGAGCAGGAATCAAAGGGGGTGCACCACTGCACCCCCACCACCCCCTGTATCTGCCCTTGGATGCAGGCATGGTGGTTTCAGTTGTGATGCATTTTCATCTGGCTGATAGGATCAGAAGATTGCATAGGCAGGACAGATAGCTGTGAAGTAGGTCTGTCTGGCCATTGATCACATTGGGTTTGAAATGCTGAGGTTCCTTACAAAGGGCAGAATACTGAACCCCGTGGGTTGCAAGAACACTGGCTGGGTGCAGGGAAGATTTTGGATTCTCAGGGAGGGGCTGGGATCCAAGTGCAGTTAGTAGAATCCAGAGTGGCTAAAGTGCAGCTAAAGCCAGGCTGGCAAAGCACAGAAATAGGAGGAGATGGCAGGGCATTTAGGGACATGAGAATGGGGAGGAAGGCTGTGGTCAGTGTTCACACACTGTGGTGACTGGTGGTCTATAAATACCTGGAGAGAAGACAGCCAGTGAAAGGGGCACTTGGAAAGCAAGGAGATGCCTGTGGAGGTTACAGGCCCTGGGGTGTGTGAGGTCACCAACCTATGGGGGATTGGCCCATATCCAGAAGGAGTAAAGGTGACTGACCGAGGCCCAGCAGTGTCTGTGGGGAGTTCACCCATGAGCCAGAGGCCTGGATCCTTTCTTGCTCCCAGCGGTTGGTCCCTCTCTAGGACAAAGTTGTGACGCACGAAGCCTTTGGATAAAACTGTGGGCTCTTCCTGGAAGAAATAGCAATGGCAGTAACCAGTTGAGACTTGCAAACACTGTATCAAATAAATAACTGCTGGGGGTTTTCTTAAGAATGCACGTCACGTAATGAGAAGAGTTATTTGATGCCAAGTGGAGAACTTCTGTTGGGGATAAGAAAGGAATAGCTTCTGGGAAATCCTTTCCCTCTTATCTTTCACAGCAAGACGGTGCAGGTCCGGGCATCCGGTCCCCCAGGATGGACGCAGGGTGCAATGTAGCACAGAAAAAAGTTAGCAAAATTAACTGCTCAGAGGATCTGAAAGTAATAAATCCCTCTGCTGTCCTAACTCACCCACAGAAACTAGGAAGGGAAGTAAGCATGTGCTTGGAGAGATCTGTGTAGATTCTGGAGGGCTGGGAAGTGTGTGGCAGAGCTTTGTGACTGGGAGGAACCAGGGTGTTGGCAGTCAGTGAGCTTGTTGAGCTGGCGTGGTGGGTCTCTGGAAGGGCGCCATGAAAAGCCCCCTGTTCGGAGGGAGTAGGGCAGGACAAAGAAGGCTGAGCATGAGACTTATTCTGAGGACTGTGGGTTCAGGCCCTGCCCTGGGTGAGCTTTGAAATGGTTTGGGGATCCTGGTTTGGTAGCAAGGAGCATTTGTTTAGAACCTGCGCACTGGTCACTAAACTTGCCTTGAGTCCTTCCAGGCTGTAAATGCCTGCCTTGGGAGGTGGAAGCTGGTGGGTGCGGTGCACGGTAGAACTTGTGTATGAGAGAGGAAGGGGGTAGAGCAGGGCCATGGAATCAGAAGGGGAGGAGGCTGCAGGAGAACTGGCTTAGCGGCAAGAAGATAAAGGTGAGACGGATGTGGAGAGCAGTCAGGAGTGGAGTACTCGGAGCAGGGCCCAGCCTTAGTCTGAGGAACTGGGGCTTTCCAGAGAACTGAGGCTGAGGGCCACAAACAAATGGAAGAGGCAACCAGAGCAGGTGACCATGTGTTGTACAAAGGACCCCTGACATGCACAGGAGCGTAGGAAGAACCCAAGGTAGGAGCTTTCCAAGGGACTGGAGGGAGTTGGGCAACCAGTTCCTCCTGAAACTCAGTGGGAAGTGGATGCCTAGTTCCCACAGGGAACGTGCAGATCTCTGCCTGGGGCTGGCCACATGATCTTGGTGGCAAAGGGCTAGAGGATCCCTGCTGCAGATAGAGACTGCCCTGATGCGTGCACCTCACGGGGTAGTAGGCAAGTGTGAGAGTCCAAACCTGATTGTTCCTTGCATACTAGTACCTGGTTGACAACAGACTTTGTGCTGGAAGGATCAGGCCGAGATGATCATTAACACCCTCGGCTGTGCATGAGAGTCCCTCTCCGCCCCTGCCATGGGAGACTTCTGTTGGCATGCAGGAGTTCATAGGTTGATAATCAACCCACTAGGACCTTTGCTGGTAAATTCACTCCAAAAGGCAGCTGGACGTTCCAGTTCAGCACCTCTGTAAACTGCCCTGTCAATAACTAACTTAATGAGGGGGAGGGTGTGGGGGGAGAGATGGGAAGGTGCTCCTCAGAGGCTGGACCCCTACACGGGCAGCCCTTGCTGGGACTGGAGGATACTGGTGATTGTGTTGTTCTTCATGCCCACTAGTTGTTGCATCTGATCCAGGGCATGGTCCTGCCTCCAGGCAAGTGAACGGGGACTTCTGCCCTTGTTACGAATGGGAACAGGATTAAGATCAGCTTCCAAGTAGACGGTGAGCTGGCTTTGCTGCTGGCTGAGTAATCCAGGGCTGGGGGATGAGGGCTGCATCCCCTGCTGCTTTGGGGCTATGTATCCATCCTGGGGACTGGTTCTGGGGGTAGGGGAAAGAGTTGGGTATTTCTGGTACCCAGGTGCTGCACTGATTTCCTGCAGAGGCTGTCAGCACATCTTACACTAACTTGGGCCTGTCTCCATGCAGTCTGTCTTCCTGGGTGCCCTGTGCAGCTGCCTGTACCCTTCCCCCTGGCAGAGATGCTTTGCCTGGCTGTCTGTGGCCGGTTTCCTTGACTCTGGCACCCCCAGGTGGCGTGTTCTTCATCCAGGAGAGCTTTGTGCTCCAGCATGTGGCTGCCCTCTGCGAGTGGGTGTTCATCATAGATGTCCTGGTCTTCTACGGCACCTTCACCTTTGAGTTTGGGGCCATCTCCACGGAAACCTTCCTGGTCCTCCTGAAAGCCAGCCGGGCTCCAAAAAGCTACAAAGCTGACAGCAGCACATCGAGCACACCTCACATCCACAGCCACTCTGAGAGCCTGGCCATGATTTGAGGGGAAACTGCTCCATGCAGTCTCAGCCTGTGAGTGCCAGGGAGCTGGCCAGGGACTTTCGGCGAGACCAGAAATCCAGACACTGCCAGCAATTCTCTTGCCTTGAACATATCCAGAAGCCAAGTGGCCTCCCACAGTGCGTTGTGTGTGGGTGTTTGGCTGACTGGGGCCCTGACCCCAGCTTTCCTTCACATGAGTCACGCAGACAGCATTACAAACTTACTTCCCACACTTCCATGGTATCATCACCAGCGGCTTTTTTACAGGAAAGAAGAAACAGCTACTTCCCCCATACCAAAGAGATCTTCATGCAGGGGCAGGGAGGCCCTGAACAGGATGGGAGGTGGTGGGATCCAACTGACTCCCCAGTCAGCTCAATACATGAGGGGACTCGGTGTGCCTTTCCTGGGTCTGTGGTGGTGAGAGGAAGACAATCGCCTTTGAGGAGGCACATGCCATTCCCTGCAGTGAAGGGGCTGGCATCTGTCCTCAGAGATGGCCCATTTCTGTTCTGTTAGGGGAAGGCCTCTCTGAGGACCAGAGACAATACAAGAGGACAAGTTGGCCAGTTCCTTCTCTGCTGAGATACCAAATTCCTTTGGACCAGCCAGGCCTGTTTTTGTTTGATGTTGAGAAACTGCAACCCGTCCCTGCCTGGCTAGCCCAAGCAGTGGGGACATAATGACTGGTAAACAAGGAATCAGGTCTATCCAGATGGATTGAAGGTGGCCAGACAGTTAGACCCAAAAAGTACAGATGCCTTAATTTTTCTTCCTGAAGATGTGTGGGTTTCTTACTATCGTTATTTTTAATATACAATATCAGAGCAGTCTGAGCAGATCCCAAGTGCCTATGGCAAAGGTGGAATCACTTGCTGTTGTGGTTCTTAGATGGATTTCTACCCTATGGATCAAGCCGTGAGGGTTTATCCTGGCTGGTTGCTTTGTGAACGTTAAATGAGCATCATAGAGAAAGCTGTCCTTGTAAAGAGCCCGTCAAGGGTATCAGCCATTCTGGAGCCAGGGTGGAGGCAGCACTTTAATTCTAGGGGCCCTGTTTCCAAGGGCTCTGACTTCTCAGGAAAACCCTCCTTGTCCTGCCATGCTTCCTGTGTGTTCTCAGCCCAAAGAGAATCATCAGACCAAGTTTAATCTTCCATGAGGCCTTCCCTGAATTCTTGCCACAATCCTCCTCTACCTCCCTCTGCACGTATCAGAATATCCTTTTCATGTTACAGTAGTGCCCGGAGGCCCTGCTGTGCTAGATGTTATGTGTGCACTTTGGAGAGTTGGCAGGGATTTGGCCAGTTCTGACACTACACGTCACATGTCGAGTCCTCGGAGGAAAGGACAATTCTACCCTTCTGCATTGTTGCATGGTTGAATGTGTCAGTCGTGGTTCTGCACAGTATTACGGAGGAGTGCTCTTTGCAGTTGTTAGACAATTCAGCCTCTCTGTCCACCTCCCTGGGATAAGATCAGTTATTACCCTTCCCACATCACAGGTGAGGGAAACTGAGGCATAACAAGGTATAGTATCCACCCCAACACAACGTAGGAAGTCCTAGGCAGGCCCAGCCACGACTCTCAGCACGAGACCCTCTGTCTTATCTTGCCTGTCACCAAATGTGCCTTTGACCCATTTTTGGAAATGGTCTGTTCAGGCGTGCTGTGGCTGTGACTAGAAATTGCACCGTGTGCACACAGTGGTGCTTCTCCACTTCATTGATTTGCAGCCCAGGGCTATCTTGCTCTTCCCAGGTAGGACAGACTAACTCAGGACACGAATAAAGCCAGCCAGAGCTACCAAATATGTCAGTGGTCGCCCTAGACTGATCCTTGCACAGGTTTCCTGGGACACAGGAGGAGAATCCAGTTGGACCAGCCTCAGCTGTGTGTGTGAATAGACAGGATGAAGTGTATTTCTCTTCTCCCCACCCTTGACAGGGGCTTTTGCCCCTGCGGTTGTGTGTTCACTTGGCTGCGTTTCCCTATTTGTCCACCTATCACATGGATTGGTTTGCAAATGTGCCAGTGCTCACAGTGGAGAAATTATATATGTATGTAAAGAATCTATATAGAGAGAGACATAAATTTGCAATAATAAAGTTAAAAGTCAGCCAAGCATGAGGAGCTCACTTCCTTCGGGGAGGAATGCCCCAGCGCGGGGAGGCGGGCGACCTGGGGCAGGTGCAGCAGGATATGAGACTCCAACCTCCGGCAGTGCTTCCCAGGCTGTGCGCCTGGTAGTCCGATGCCAGCTGACTGTTTCCAACCCTAGCGCCCGCTGGAAAGCCCCAGCTTTACGTATTGCTTAAGCCACTTGAGGGCACGAGTCCCGTCGGGAGTCCCGGGGCCCGGACAAGCCCGTCCCTTGGAAATCCCACCCAGGCGACGCTGCTTCCTTAGGCGATGGCGGGGTGGGACGTCCAGGCCCGGGGGCGGGGGTGCGCAGGCCGATCCTGTCTGGGGCGGGGCGGGGCG